TCATGTTCACACGCACAAACAAATAATTTACTTCAAGATTTAAAGTTTAAGAGAGTGAGTACTCAATTGGACGACATTTCATTGTTACATACCTAGTATATAATATATAATTAATCATTTAGCAGACGCTCTTATCCAGAGCAATTAGGGTTAAGTGCCTTGCTCAAGGGCACATCGACAGATTTTTCACCTAGTCGGCTCAGAGATTAGAACCAGCGACCTTTCGGTTACTGGCACAACGCTCTTAACCACTAAGCTACCTGCCGCCCTCTCTGAGCTTGTCAATTTCAGCATTTTGCTCTACTTACCGTGAAGTAAAATCATAATAGTCATCATCATAATAGTAGTACATTACAGTATATATTTGAGTAAAATAGTACAATTTAAAGGGAGTATGTCAGGGTCAATTACTGACAAATGAGAACACACTAATCCTCAGGGGTCATTTTGGGGCAAAACGCACCACTTTGTGAAGGTTTTGTTTTGATTGAAGAGCAAGAAAAGTATTAATTGGTTAATTAACTTCTTTCCCTTCTAAATGCGTTTGCCTAAGGACAGCCAGTATGCACATATCTAAATGTTATAAAACATTGTTTATTTTTTTGCCACTCAGAACACAGACATTTACCTTAAGGGGAGTTACCCTCATTTTAGACTTCCCAACCATACATTTTCATGACAGTGTTCCTAATCTGCAGTAGGCAAAGCAGTTGAAAATCGGTAGGTTAACACCAAACCGTGAAGTGATTATGAATTCAGAGCAGTCGGATTAGGTCATAGTCAAATACATTTGAACAAATGAACACCAATATCACACGGAAAGGGATGTGAGCATTGCATTGTGGAAAGCAATGACACTTTACAAGAACATGTATTGCAATGCGAAGCATGTATTTCTAGATTAAACACTGATTCAGTGTGGTGAACAAGTACCTGTATGATTTGGTGTGCTCTACTTGAACATGTGCTTAGAGTTTTGAAACCACTGCCTATATGATGAGCTGTTGTTGTATTTTTTTTTTACCACATACTTATGAAAATTGCACCGGTTGAGAGATGATGGCTCTCTGAGCCTACGGTGAAGAGTACTTCTGATCCAGCAGGTGGTGCTAAGGTGCCTCTCTATATTACTTGAATGATGAGTTGACTTATTCCTTATAGCGGCTATTGATTTTAAGGCCAGTGTTGGCAAACATTACTTCTGCTCCAGCATGTGGCCATGAAATCCCTCCCTATATGACTTGACTGACCAGTTAGTTGATGGACTCCTTATAGCTCTTAATGATTTTAAGCAGAGTGTTGGCCACATGAATTCTGGTCCAGCAGGTGCCTTTTATTTCAACGCCTCAGGCAAGTAAAACGTGCAATACGTAGCTTTTAGACGGGTTAGTTAACAACGTACATGGTGAGAAATGTAGAGGTGCGCGTATATAATAAGCCATTTAACAGACGCTTTTATCCAAAGCGACATACAGTCATGTGCGCATATATTTTGACGTCCCGGGGATCGAACCCACTACCCTGGCGTTACAAGCGCCATGCTCTACCAATTTAGCTACAGAGGACCACGAATAAATATATCAATTGTGCCTTTTTGATGGAAATATGGAGGTGGGATTTTGGAGATCAAGTCATAATTTACGCGCGCTCTCTGCGAATAAGGCGGGCCAGCTGGATTTCCTAGGACACGATGGTCACCCTCTTTGCGTGGATGGCACACAGTTTGGTGTCCTCGAACAGACCGACCAGGTAAGTCTCGCTAGCCTCCTGCAGGGCCATCACGGCGGAGCTCTGGAAGCGCAGGTCGGCGATTTTTCTCCACAGGCGCTGGAAGGGCACAATGCGAATGAGCAGCTCATTGGCCCTTTGGTAACGACGGATCTCTCTGAGACACGGTGCCGGGCCTGTAACGGGGAGGCGCTCCTGCGCGCAGACTTGGCGTTGAGCTGCTTCCTGTAGGCTTTGCCAAGGGTGGATTTGCAGTCGGAGTATAGCCTCGAAATGCCCATGTGAAATGTATAAAGCCGGCAGTGGCATCTGCTGATTGGACACCATCTCCCCACCACCCCGATTGGCCCATTGCGGAGGACTCCTCTGTCGGTTACTGGAAGGGATGCTTTGCTTCTTTTTTTTAGGACCGCGCGCCCAACACAATACACTGGGCGCCCAAAACAATAGTAAACTAAGCGCGTGCGTACAATCGCACACTGCTGGCCCTTTGCGCGCAATAATAGTCGTCAAAGTCAAGAGTGAAATCTTGTGTTATATTTTAATGCTAGCCTGTTATGGCAAATGAGGCCAATGGTACACTGCCTGCACACAACTACACACTGCGCGCCGGCAAAAGCACACTGTGCGCGCGCAACAGCACACTGACGGCCCTTTATGCGGAATAATAGTCTCCAAAGTCCAGAGTGAAATCTTGTGTTCTAATCTAATGCTTGCCTGCTATGGCAAACGAGGCCTAGTAGGTGTTATTGTTCATTCATGGCCTCATGTGGGAACATGATATAGTGCCATGTATGTAAGAAATAGTCGACATAATTGTGTATCCACCCACTCAATTGGTTGGCTCTTAAAATAGCCTTTGGAGGTTGAGTTGTCAAGTTGAAGCCGCAGTAGCGAATTTACTTGGCTTTGACGGTCTTCTTGGGGAGTAGGTAATGGGGAATGATGTGAGGCTTCATGTTTGCACGGGCAATGTCTCCGACCAACTCCAGGATCTCAGCAGTCAGGCACTCGAGCACGGCAGCCAGGTAGACTGGTGCGACAGCACCCACACGCTCGGCGTAGTTGCCTTTGCGCATCAGCCTGGGCATCTCGTAATCCATCTTGATTTAAATGTTCATGTAAAATTTGTTCCCAACATTGAAACATTTCTGTGTTTGTATGTTATTTTTTTTCCAGCAAGATGAAGGGGGTGATGTCCTGCAGGACCTAGCACAACATGTAAAGAAAATCGTTGTGTACTAACCTGGGATATTTACGTTAAGGATAATGTTTACCAATCGATGACAGTATTGACTCAATACGGGGTTTGCTTTCCGCTATCCGTCGCCGTTTAAATGTCTGACATATAACCGTGCTCGAGAAAACCACAGGTAGCATAATGTATTTCAGCAGATTTCGTGCATTTCTGTGTGAAAAGACACGAATTTACAGTGGGGAAAAAAAGTGTTTAGTCAGCCACCAATTGTGCAAGTTCTCCCACTTAAAAAGATGACCTGTAAGGCCTGTAATTTTCATCATAGGTACACGTCAACTATGACAGCCAAAATGAGATTTTTTTTTCAGAAAATCAAATTGTATGATTTTTAATGAATTTGTTTGCAAATTATGGTGGAAAATAAGTATTTGGTCGATAACAAAAGTTTCTCAATACTTTGTTATATACCCTTTGTTGGCAATGACACAGGTCAAACGTTTTCTGTAAGTCTTCACAAGGTTTTCACACACTGTTGCTGGTATTTTGGCCCATTCCTCCATGCAGATCTCCTCTAGAGCAGTGATGTTTTGGGGCTGTAACTGGGCAACACGGACTTTCAACTCCCTCCAAAGATTTTCTATGGGGTTGAGATCTGGAGACTGGCTAGGCCACTCCAGGACCTTGAAATGCTTCTTACGAAGCCACTCCTTCGTTGCCCGGGCGGTGTGTTTGGGATCATTGTCATGCTGAAAGACCCAGCCACGTTTCATCTTCAATGCCCTTGCTGATGGAAGGAGGTTTTCACTCAAAATCTCACGATACATGGCCCCATTCATTCTTTCCTTTACACGGATCAGTCGTCCTGGTCCCTTTGCAGAAAAACAGCCCAAAAAGCATGATGTTTCCATCCCCATGCTTCACAGTAGATATGGTGTTCTTTGGATCCAACTCAGCATTCTTTGTCCTCCAAACACGACGAGTTGAGTTTTTACCAAAAAGTTATATTTTGGTTTCATCTGACCATATGACATTCTCCCCAATCCTCTTCTGGATCATCCAAATGCACTCTAGCAAACTTCAGACGGGCCTGGACATGTACTGGCTTAAGCAGTGGGACACGTCTGGCACTGCAGGATTTGAGTCCCTGGCGGCGTAGTGGTGTTACTGATGGTAGGCTTTGTTACTTTGGTCCCAGCTCTCTGCAGGTCATTCACTAGGTCCCCCCGTGTGGTTCTGGGATTTTGCTCACCGTTCTTGTGATCATTTTGACCCCACGGGGTGAGATCTTGCGTGGAGCCCCAGATCGAGGGAGATTATCAGTGGTCTTGTATGTCTTCCATTTCCTAATAATTGCTCCCACAGTTGATTTCTTCAAACCAAGCTGCTTACCTATTGCAGATTCAGTCTTCCCAGCCTGGTGCAGGTCTACAATTTTGTTTCTGGTGTCCTTTGACAGCTCTTTGGTCTTGGCCATAGTGGAGTTTGGAGTGTGACTGTTTGAGGTTGTGGACAGGTGTCTTTTATACTGATAACAAGTTCAAACAGGTGCCATTAATACAGGTAACGAGTGGAGGACAGAGGAGCCTCTTAAAGACGAAGTTTACAGGCCTGTGAGAGCCAGAAATCTTGCTTTTTTGTAGGTGACCAAATACTTATTTTCCACCATAATTTGCAAATAAATTCATTAAAAATCCTACAATGTGATTTTCTGGAGAAAAAAAATGTTAATTTGTTTGTCATAGTTGACGTGTACCTATGATGAAAATTACAGGCCTCTCTCATCTTTTTAAGTGGGAGAACTTGCACAAATTGGTGGCTGACAAAATATTTTTTTCCCCCCTGTATGGCTCTTTTAAATTTGTGCGAAAAAACACCAATTTTAAACCCGAGGCTAAAACAAACCCAAACCAAAAAAAGGATTTGCCTATTTTTTTTTTATTTTCTTTAAA